CTGTATCTGCTAGGGATTTGTTCCAAGGCCTGTCCCCGGAATCTAAAAATCGTGGATTATAGTGAATGCTATTTTAATAATGAACACTATACATATAGCATGATCTCTTGGATTCCCCTAGTGGCCAGTTCTGTTAACTTCATCTGCATATTTCTAGGATTTTTCTTTTAATATTTTCAGACAGTAGATCAATGAATCCATGGATACCAGTCCAACGGGATCTCCCACGGGATCAGGGGGTCCTACTATGTACAGTGGTGCCTCGCATTGCGACGTTAATTCGTTCCGCAAAAATTGCTGCAGAACGAAAACGTCGCAATGCGAAATAAAAAAGCCCATAGAAACGCATTGAAACCCCTTCAATACGTTCTTATGGGCTGGAAACTCACCGTTCAGCGAAGATCCTCCATAGCACGGCCATTTCTGGTGCCTCTTAAGCGAGGAATCTGTCCCAGAAAACAGCGGGAGGCCATTCTGTTTACCCGGTGGCCATTTTGAAACCGCCGATCAGCTGTTTTAAAATCGTCGCTTTGCGATGCTCAGTTCCCGAAGCAGGAAACTGATCATCGCAAAGCAAAATTCCCCCATAGGGAACATTGCAAAGCGATTGCTTTTGCAATCGCAAAAAATGCATCGCAAAGTGATTTTATCGCTAAACGGAGCAATTGCTATGCAAGGCACCATTGTCGTTTTTTAAAAAATATATTAATAATTTTGCCGCATTGCGGTGGTACCTGATGCAGCTTTTCCTTTTCCCACTCCTTTTCTTGCAGGTCATCCCGGACTGGAAGGAGCAAGAGTGGTCTGCGGAGAAGCCGGAAAACTATGTGGGCATTTTCCATTTCCAGTTCTGGCGATTTGGGGAGTGGGTGGACGTGGTGATTGACGACCGCCTGCCCACCCTCCACAACCAGCTCATCTACTGCCACTCAAATTCCAAGAACGAGTTATGGTGCGCCCTGGTAGAGAAAGCCTATGCCAAGTGAGTAAACTTGCCGGGCTTGAGACCAGCACGGTGGCATGTTGTGGGTTCTCCCTTAAAGTAAGCTCTGCAGTACTAGGATGATGATGATGATGATGATGATGATGATGATGATGATGATGACCTAGTTCAAGTCTACAAGAATCTCTCTTTTTTCCAAACCTGGAGCTAAATTCGAGAAGAATCCTTTGAAGGAGTCGGGGCGGCCCATGAAGACGGGGGTCTCATGGCCACCCACTCCGGCTTCAGAGCTCTCTGGCTATTAGGGATCACTCCCCCTCCTGCTGAAATCCATTTTCCAGGGTTTCATTGGGGAGATGGTAAGCACTTGGCTCTAAACTCTTGGATTTAGAGTGGCTTGAGTCCCATATAACCGGGAGAAAGACGGGATAGAAATGAAATAGAATAAAATAAAACCCTCAGGGAAAATACTGAGGCTGTCCATGACCAGAGAAAAAAAGTCAATTAATCTGCTGATCATGCTTATCCATCAGTCTGTCATGGGATGAACTCCTCATAACCACTCATACGTCACAGACAGGCATATGTTTTGTGGACATACTTTATAAAGTGGCACAAAGCCCTTTGCAGTAAATAAGTGTGACCTGCAACAAACAGTTGCAGCGTGAGAGGCTTCTGTTCACTTTTCCAGCTAGCCAGTTCAGCCCTGCACGTTTGGAGGGACACCCTGTTCAATTTGCTCCCCCATCCTGTTTTTCCCCCCAACCCACAGACCCTCGTCATTCTGTATCTGCTGAATATGCTAAAGATTCATTAATCTATTGGGAGGGTAGTATAGCCTCTTAATTTTCCCTACCATTGGTCATTTGTATTTCTGCAAAACTTTCAGTTTCCTTCTTCCCCTGAGCTTGCTGAATCTTTCTTTGCAGCTTTCTCGACGACCTGCAGGCCTATTGATGCTCACCTGCAAAACTGAAGAGTGTCTCTACTAGGATGTAGATCAAGACTCAGAATATTGGCTTCATGGCACGCTTTCTTCCTCTGTTAGAGAAGGCATCGCACCCTACCCTTAGCTAGAGGGTATATCGGCTGTGCCGGCTCCATCCGTAATAACCACCCCATTCTTTTTAGACTCTCAGGATGCTACGAAGCCTTAGACGGAGGCAACACGGGCGATGCCTTGGTGGATTTCACCGGCGGTGTCTCGGAACCCATCGATCTGGTCGAGGGCGGCTACGCCGAGGACGAAGCCAAACGGAACCTCCTCTTTGAGCGGGTTCTCAAAGTCCATAATCGGGGGGGCCTCATCAGCTGCTCCATCAAAGTAAGGAACCCACAGGTCTTGCTATACCGTTGCAGCAGGGGCGTGAGTGGGTGCATGCATGGGTTAAAAGAGTCACGATTGCCACCTTGATCTCGGTAAAAGACAAGGAAACCCTAGAGACCACAGGCCAGGCATATATGGCCCGGAGCTTCCCCATCACCGGCTCCTTTAAAAGGTCTTAATCCCCCAAATCTTCTGATAAAGGCATATCCTATAAAGTAGGACCCCCTTATCCACTGGATCGGTATCCACAGATTGACTTATCCACCGTCCGAAAATAGTAAAAGAAAAATCCAAGAAATCCAGGCACTCCTCATTTAACAACCGAGTTCCATACCTAGGACCAGGTCGTTAAGCAAATTGGTCAATAAGTGAGGAGCCATCAACTGTATGCAAGAGGAATAAATCACGAGCTGTGGAGAAGGGGGCGGGGCAAAGACGCAAACCTGCGTTGATGAGGGTTGTCAAGGATCAGAAATAGCTGTTGCTTAACAGGTAGATTGTTAAGTGAGGAGTGCCTGTACAGTGATGCCTCGCAAGACGAATGCCTCGTGCAACAAAAAACTCACAAGACGAAAGCATTTTGCAATTTTTTGGGTGATTCGCAAGATGAATTTTTCTGTGGCCATGCTTCGCAAGACGAATTATTTTTTCAATGCATTCCTATGGAAAATGCATTGAAATGCATTCATATGGGAAAATTTGCTAGATGAAATTTTTGCAATACAAAATGACTCACAGAACAAATTAATTTCATCTTGCAAGGCATCACTGTATATATTTTAAAAGAGAATGTTACCAGAACTGGCTACTAGAGGGAGCCAGAGACCATGCAATGGATAGTGTTTGTTATTCAAATACCGTTTGCTTAATCTGTGTTTCCCTTAAATGCCTCTCAAAAAAAAGTAGAGCATAAAGCAAAGTGTGCTGCTTATATACCACTCCATAGCACTTAAAGCACTCTCTGGGCAGTTTATAATTTAATTAGAAAGGCTACACCTTGCTCCCCCGCCCAAGCTGGGTACTCAATTTACCAACTTCAGAAGGATAGAAGGCCGAGTGAGCCTTGAGCTGGCTACCCAAGCCCGTCCCAATCGAACTCAGCTCGTGAGCAGAGTCTTGATCGCAGCACTGCAATTTCACCACTACACCAACGAGGCTCCTTAGAAGAACAAGCACATTGCTGGGTGCCCGGAGCCATCCTGTGTGACAAGACCAGAGAGGACATTTTGTGGAATTGGTGCTACCACCAAATAGGCCCTCTGCCTCGTTTATTCAGAATACTAGATGCAAAACTGTCTTTGATACTGAGCCACAAATGGTGGCCATCCATTGCTTTTTCGTCTTGGCCAGACGGAACTTGGAAAGTTACTTTCAAGAAATAACTTGTTCTCACTCGACTCTCCCACTATAGGATCTGAGAAGTAGTTCAGTGCTATTAGAAGTACACAGAGTTGTGGATTTTGGGGATTCTGAGTAGTGTAGTCCCATAAAAATAGATCTGGACCATTCCAGCCATCCCCCATTATAACGTCTGCAAAATGATTTATTTCATTAATCATTGCTTTTTTTTTTTTGCAAATTTTTGTTGGGTCTTTATGTTGAAAAACATCTCATAAAATAGATATGAGAATGGTATACCCTGTGAGCAATTCTTTTCCAAAGGGCTCTGAAAACACTCTTAAAAAATTGCTAGCTGTTCAAGAAAAAGATTGCTAGTTAAAGTAATGATTTCATGACTACTGAATTACTTTGGCAGTGTAACTTCATTGTGTACTCAATAGCCAAAAAACGGGCAACTCCTCAGAGGAAAAACTTAGGGCTCATCTGCATGTGCTCTTTTGAAGTTGCTTTGAGGTCCAAAGGCCGTATCAGAGTTCACGCAATCCTTATTGGTCCAGCTCCTTCTGATCTCGTGAAGTGGCTTAGTAAGATAGCCACTTCAGGATACTGGCAAACTGAACACATCCTCTGCTTCTCGGTTAGAGGGGCAGGGAGATGAAATGTCTTTTAAGGTTTTGGTAGACTATCAGTGAAGCTCTAGCCGCCTAGAGTGGTCTGGTAGTCCAGAAAGGCGGGGTATAAATCA